CTTAATTTATACATGCATATGAGAAACAGACCTTCAACATTTTCATAATGACATAAATGCAATCCTAGACCTGTCTGTGAATTCATGCATTGTCTCATCACGTGGGTATCAGGGACCAGGAGTTTCCTTTTCCATCTGCTCAGTCACCTGTCTTAGTGTCTTCCCATATCCAGTCTAACTCAAACTTAAAAATGAAATTAATAATTAAATACATAATCTAAATAATTTGTATGGTATATCTATCTATCTATCTATCTATCTATCTATCTATCTATCTGTCTGTCTGTCTGTATGTCTGTATGTCTGTTCATCTATCTGTCTATCTTTCTGTCTGTCTGCTTGTCTGTCTGTCTCTCTGTCCATGTGTCTAGCTGCATGATATGTTTGATGCTCCCTCCACAGAAATACACACACATATACTTTGACAAATATAGACACAAGATATATTTGTGTGTGTGTGTGTATGTGTGTGTGTATGTGGGTGGGTGTGGTTTTTTTAATGCTTCTTATTTGTATGTGGGTGGGTGTATTTGTGTGTGTGGGGTTTTTTTTATGCTTCTTAATTATAAAAGCCAATGCAAACATGTGCATAGAAGTATTACTATATACAGACATATTAACTCCATATATACCTACATATGCTCATTCGCATGTTCTGTGCTCCTGTCTCTTTATTTTATTTCCCATGCCCTGGGTAGTGCTCATTATGCTGTTACCCATTGAGCTGTCATTTTTGTAAATACCTGCAAGTATTCCATTATATGCACAAATCGACCTCATCACTAACTCAAAGCTGTCACACACTACACCAGGCTGCTTCTAATATCCTTTCTATGCAAGCTAAGTCAAAGACGCAATTCCCTCAAGGTTAAAGTCATTTTTAAATACAAGCCAGACTGTATCTTTTTTTTTTTTTTTTTATTGACAGACATGATTAGATTGGTTGGCATATAATCAAGGTATAATTGACACTTATAGCTGCCACTAGGAACATTGTAGTAAAGATGTAAAAAAAATAACCAAAACATAGATTTGTAATGAAAGTCCAAATGATCCCATATTTACTTACACCCCAACACCCAGTCCTTGGACAGTGCAGAGCACAATGCTGCCTCTTACATTTAAACACAAAGATGGACCATCTGCTTGTTCTTCTGTGGTCAGATATTAAAAGAATGCTGATTGCCACAATGAACACTAGTTAAATTACTAATAAACACATCCTTACTTATTCTTTGAAAGCATTTGTATAAATGGGACAGAGAGGAAAGGGGTGATTAAAAATAGAATATAGACTTTTTTTTTTTTTTTTTGCACAGTTGTATTATTTTTCTTTTCTAACAGGTAGAAGGGGAGGTTTTACCTCACTCTCTCAGTGCATCCATGAGCTTCGACTTTGTATTTCCAGCCTTGCGACCAGCAGGGGGCGCATTTGTTCCGTGAAGAAAAAAAAAATGTGACCAAAAAGATTTGATAAAAATGAAATAAACCTTTTTTTTTTTTTTATCCCAAGCTGTTCAGACTGCAATAACCGTAGATTACAAAAGATGTGTACTTTATAAACTCAAATAAAACAAACCTGACATGCAGAGTAAAGACATCATGTGTGTTATTTGAATTATTAAATGGCTGGATGGGGTATATAATTTAATATCTATACCGTTTGCTTTATACACTGAATTTGCTATACCTATTTGAGGTAAAAGAAAATACCATAAAAAAGGGGTTAAAAATGGATGCCTTAAAACAAAGAAACCCACGGGTATTAAACCTAGTGAATGGAAGAGCAGCTTGTTTAGGCAATGAAGACATGATTTTGCTTTGTTCCATAACTATAATTGAGATGCATAATTGAGATTCCACTTATAAAGAACCTTCACATTAAATATACATACATGCCTTTACCTTTCTCCCTTGTCAGCTGTGTGCTTAGAATCTCAATGTCCATAGTCAGACCATCTTTGTGCTATAGCTCTGATCTCTGCCCTTAAAATGTTATTCTTAGGGTTGGTTGCTTAGGGAGGGAGAGGGGGGTCTAGCAGGAGTGAGAGAAGGAATGCCAGTAAAATTGAGAACCATCTAAAGGAAAATAGCAAAATCACTATTTCTGTATATCCACAATATTAATCCAGGGTGTTTCATAAACACTAGATCCATTTTGCATGCAAAGTGGTTTATATATGTCATTGCTCTAGACATGGCAGAGACTCTGAGATTCGGACCACCATAGAAGATCTGTCGCCCACCCAGATGGTAAGATATAATAAATCCTAAACATTCCAAATTGCAGTCATACGAATTAGACGACCAAGCCTTGTTCTTCAGGGTGGTGTGTTATGCTCAAACATGATCTGCACTCACAAGACACTGTTAAGGTCCTATATTTCATAAAACTTGTGGAATTTTGCAGGCTTGTCTAGGAAAATAGGAACACATGGTCCAGTTTAAGTTTGATCTCCAGGCCTGCTAAAGAAGACTAACCTGCCCCTGGCAATCTGTTCTAGAACACAATACACAAGGCACATCAAAATTCAACATATACTTTAGTGGATTTAAGATCTAAGAACATCATTCTCCCCCCTCCCCTTTTTTTGAGATTGTATTACACCTTTCTCTAAGGACAAGCTGAGAGGAAAGGAGTTAAGTTAGGATTATTGTCTTATTCCTGTTTAAATTCACATGAAGATGCATAAAAGACCTATTTGAGAACAGAAAAAAAGATAACAATTGTGAAGAGATTGATTTAAATTGCTCCTGAAGATAATATAAAGATTCAGGTGTGTGGGTGTTTTGCCATTGCAACATTATCCCTAAAAGCAAAATGGCTTTTAACTTTCTATTTACAAGTGACACATAGCAGCTTTTGTTTGCATCAAAGTGGTTAGAAATTCTGTTTTAAAACTGTAATGTTTAAAGAGCAAAGAAACACCATACAGGAATGTAGAGTAAACGATTTACTGACAGAAAGCATAGCACAGTCTCATCCATTAATTTCTCTAAAAGCACAGACTTCTGTTTAGTGATGAAATCTGCATCTCCTAAGAGAAGCCAGGAAAGGTCCAATCAATGCTTTAACCCCATGAGTCCTGGATGAATTCTTCTGCCAATGCTTGTCTCTATTCTTTGGCACAAAAAGGGTTGCTTGCATTCTCTTGGTGTACAAAGGTTCATTATTAAGTACTCGAATGCAATAAACAGGAAAAGATTTATCTTGGATATATCAGTAACATATGAATGATAATTGTACTGTTCTGCAAGCATTTTGTGAGAACAAGTATAAATAAAACATTGTCTTTACAATGCACAACAGCTTTATAGGACTCTACAAATAATAACATAGCTTTAAAAAAAACAACAAACGATAAGGAAGGGGCATTTTCCCTATGGGCTTGCCATAAGGCGAGCAGTTTCAGTTAAGAAGTGGTTAAATATATATTGCACTAGTGTAGACGAATGAAGCAGTGTAAAGCCTTATGCGACTGTTTTTTGCTATCTAACCTTGGCACATTAGCTTGAGAACCAAGTATGTCATAATGTGCAGCCTATATTAAGGCAAACATCCAAGAATATGATAGCAAAATGAAAAAAAAAAAATGAAAAAAAGAATCGACAAAATCCAACTCCCTGGTAAATCCAACATTTCATTAAAGATAGTAAATTTTACAGCAATGGATCACACAAACTCTGTATAAGATAGCTTGTAACGCAGAGATACAGCAATGTAAGCTTGCCAGGTTATAGTCTAATCATTAGGGCTCTGATTATATATTTATGTATGGGGTGTGGGGGGGGGGAGAGGGGTAATTTTTGTGCAACACTATCCTGGATTTGTTATTCCTGCCTGAAGGGGGCAATAGACTAACACAAAATGGAAAGCTAATGCAATGGTTGGATTCTGTTCCTTGAGCCCAGGAATGCAACATTATGTAGGTATAGGGAACACGGTTAATTACTGTATATTGAAACAAAAGATCTGATAAACTGTTTAATTTTTCCTTAGGCTATATTTCCAGACGGTTAATGCTCAGATGTACTGGGCTGATTCCAAAGAGAATTGCAAAGTTCTGAAACATCTAATTCATTAATAAAGAATTGTCAAGCTAAAGCAATGAAGTTATTTTATTTTTGTTTGTTTTGGCTCTCCGAATTAAAGGAGCAGAAGGGGGAACACAGGGCTATAGATGTCTTGCTAGCTCTTTCTTTTTCCAGATGTTCTGTGCACTTGATCCATTTGGGAAGTTTCAATACAGGCAATGAGCTGCTGTTCGAAGTAGGAGGGAATGATTTCAGCACCAACACTCCGGACAGCTCCAATGAAGCTTCCGTAGTGCTGGCTCCGTAAACAGTGCTTACAAAATATACATTGTGCAAAAGTGTATACTTTGTATAAACAGGTAACAATGTAAAATAAAGAAAGATGAAAAAAAAAATGGGCAATTGATTTTTTTTTTTTGGTCATTTAAGACTATGTCACACCTTATTGCAAAAAGAAATATATGATAGTGTGATAGATAATGTTCAGGATTCCTCTGTAAAGTCGTGTTTCATTATAACACCGTAATATGAGAAAACAGTTTGTAGAAAGTGAATGCAAGGCAATATTTCCTAATCTTTTCATTACTGCAGAAAAATTGTTGATTACTGTGTGTGCTAATCAGCAAAAGAGCAGAATGAAAATGTTTGGCTTAATTGCAATAGCTCTGTTATAATAAACTGTGCACGTGAATGTAATGCATGCATAGTAATAAGACTAATAATAATAATAATAATAATAATAACAATAATATATTCTAAGTGTATAGTTTAAGTAGTTCACTAGACCTCAGGACAAATGTGTCAGTTTTTCGTATTATTCTAAAAAGGTCCTGAATGGCAGGTGTGAATTCTGAGCCATTTTCTTTTCTTTCTTTTTTTTTCCCCTTCCCTCCCTCTCTCTCTCTCTCTCTCTCTCCTGCATGTTCGTCCAGTCCCACAAGGCATTGGTCCTTTCCCATTGGGAAGTCATGAATAAGAGGCTATGGAACTTGCACGTCAGATCTTCCTCAATTAATCCACCATTAGGATGTTTGGGATCCACTACTGGATGGGGAACAGAAGCTCGTGTAACTGTGTGCTGCCCAGAACCAATTAGGAGCAGCTCAGAAAAAAATGTAACTCTGTGCTGCCCTGCTCTGGGAGAGCTCAGTGCTCTACGTGTTCAGATGTGGAGGTTGGGGTCTAGTGGCAGCAGGCAGATGGTGCAGTTCAGATCGATGTGATCGCTATAGCTGCTTTTTTTTCTTCTTTTTTTTCCCTCTTGTTACTGGAGCTGAGGGCGATGGCTGAAGACTCTAAGACTGCAGCCCAGTAGGGAGTGAATGCTATCTGGGTACCAGACACAGGATAACCAGATCAACGACGTCCAGGCTTTTCCAGCAAGGAAAAAAAAAATCTGCTTTTCATTAAATCGGTTCCTAAAGGAGAAACAGAGCCTCAGCACGTTCCTAGCAGGAATCAGCTGGATGTGTGAATCACTCAGAGCTGAAGCAGCCTTGGAAGCAAACGGTAAGCATTGGGTTTCAACCACATCACATAACAACTGAGCATTGATACACTGTTACCACCACGTTAGGTTTGCTTTATTTAATGTATCTTTTTCCAGCCTGGCTACATGTTCAGATTTAGCTCATCCGCAAAGGAAATCAATATATGTTTTGTGGGGTGTTTTTTTTTCTATCTCTCTACCTTAATGCTTTTCCTCTGCACAGAAATATATCCAGTATTTTTCTTTTTGTTATCATTATTGCGGATTTTAAGTGCTCTGATGCTGTGAATATGTAACATGCTTTTTTTTCTGAAAAGCATCCCCTTTCTGGAGATGATTGCATCAAGTAAAACCAACACAGATGCAAACCCTACCTCCCATCATGTTAAGGCAACAAGAATCGTTTATTTCTCATAATGACAATGACCAGCAGTGACCAGTTACACCAAGAGCAAATTCTGCTCTCACAATCATGGGTACAAGATTATTTCTAAATGAGTGTGGAAGTTGGTCAAGGGAATAGATTCAAGGAGGGGAATGGCCACCAGAAGGGGACCCTATAGCTTGCAGGCGATGAATGCATTTTCTTTTGCTTAGACCCTCTAGGGAAATAGTCTCTTTCCCTTGAGTGAGAAGTAAGTCTCTGGAAAGGTGGGTCAGATATTAGCTATTATATGATCTGGTCTGATTCATCTTTAGCAGTCCTTTTTCTGATATGGACTGGTGGCTGCTGCTTCTGCTCCTGCTATTAGATTGGGGAATTGTGATCACACATTTACTACTGGTTCTGTAAAAAAAAAGCTAATACCCAGGAGGTAACACTGACTTCCCCTAAGGCATGCTCTACCATTCTTGAAGGCGGAAGGGAGGTGTGATACTCCACAATGCTAGGGGAATCTGATCCAAAATTGTGTTAGCGTGCCAAGAACAATATTCAAGAAGCATTAAATGTGAGGGGGGATAATTTTTTGCATAAAGAAGTGGTTTCTGCATGGAGCCAGTCACCAGGAGTAGCATTTGTTTAAAGTCACCAAGCACGGAGCTGTTCCGAGTCTGGTGCTGAACATCTCAGCTATTCTGGGGACTTAAAGAGCCTCCGTCAATCAATAGTGCTTTCATCAGTGAGGTTGTAGGTGAATTGCATTATTGTGATCAGTGTGATGTTTGCATTACAGAGTACTTTAATTGGATTTTTTTTAAATAATATATATTGTGTTTTTTATGTTTATTTATTCATAAATATTGTACCCAACCACGATTAGATCGCTCATATTGCAATGTGGGTACGTTGATTGTTTGCATATGTTTTTAAATTCATTTTCCAATGCTTCTCTGTCTAAGTGTGAGTTGCATGCATTCAACATACTCATTTTTTTCTACTGAATGAATTTAGCAGTTTGATGTTGGCAACACTTTATAATAATTTCATAGACTCCATGCAGAATTTAATGTATATATTCCTGTTTGGTTGGATGTCCTGACTAAATAGAAAGCTTTAATATTTAACATTGACATTCTATGCTGCAGTCATGTAGTACAATCATGTAAAATCTGTTATTTTCCAGCATATATTCTGTATCATAAAATTAATTAGTTTTTTGTATTCTCCATCTGTGCATACATGTCATTATCCCATCTTCACTCAGAAAATAATAGATCCTATTCTGTTAAGGTCCTTGAACACACATAGACTGCGCACAGATCTATGCAGAACCCTCTCGCTACACCCAAGGCTCCCAGTCATATCACTAGCAAATCTTAAAACAAAGCTTCTCTATAAAAACCACGTTTCCAGTAGCTGATCCGGATTTGCAACACTATCTCTCACATCCCCTAATCCACTGACACATTTCAAAGAGATTATATATAGCAAGTATTTGCAATATAGTATATTGGTGGCGAGTTTACATATGTACATAATATAGACAGGAGGATTTTATTTGTTTTATATGAGATATGATGAGAGCATTTATCTCTCTCTCTCTCTCTCTCTCTCTCTCTCTCTCTCTCTCTCTCTCTCTCTCTTCCCCTCTCTTATTTTTTCTTTTTCACTTTCCCTGATATATATATATATATATATATATATATATATATATATTATATATTTACATATATACACACACACACACACACACTACAATGTTTTATTATTTTTTACTGAGACGTTTAGCATTGCAGTGCACAGATCCTGTACAATTTAACCCTTTCAATCACTAATAGTTCCTTTTACTAAATAAATCACGTTTAGTGTAGAGTAACAGGTTATTTTTTAACATCTATGTTGGATAAATCTCACAATATGGTCACACTTAACTATGCATGAAATTCTCTTACAGGCATATCTATAGGTTCTTTGGACATCCAATTGAACAGAGCTGAGATGAGGGCGGGCACAAAAGGGTTTTTTTTCTCTGCAAGTTCAGAAAGAAGAAGACAAGAGGAAAGACAAGGTACACTGAACATAACCCCCCTTGTGATGTATGTGTAAGATGTCCCACCTCTTCATTGCACTAAACCTGCATGGTTCTATACTGTTCTTACAGGGATGGAATGTTGGACTTGTGGAATGAGTCTTGAAGAGTGGACTTCTTTGGATTCTCCTCTACTGACCTCTGCTTGTGGATTTATTACCCCAGTCTGCTGATCATCTCCATGGCTCTCTTCGGTGACGGGTATTCTTGGGTGGATAATACGGATTACGTTGTTATTGCTTAAGAATACGCGTAGTTGAGGAGAGTTATCTACACCAAGCTGGTTGAACCATCTCTACTTGATATCTCACCAACCGGCTTCTGTAGTAGCTAAGGTAGCTTATTTTGATATATCTTTCCAAGCATTGCTATTATAAGTGACTTGCATGAAAAAAAGATTAAATTAAGAATATTTTATTATTTCAGCTGAGAGACTTATTAAATGGGTAGTGTGTTGGATTCTTCCATTTAAATTTCAGCTGAGTGATAAGTTCATTATTTTAATCTTTTTTTTTCTTCTTCTTTTTTGTTACACTTGGAGTTGGTGTGATTGATATTGTCATATTCTTTTTATGCAGATATGTATTAATATTGGAGCCTATGAAGTGAGGCCTCTTGAGCTAGTGTGTCATAATTTTATATGTATGAAATTATATATCTATTTGTATATTTATATAATGCAATATATACCAAGGCAACGCCTTAAAATACTGGAAGCAGGGATCTGTTGAGAATCCAGTGATAAGCAGATGCTCCCTGGTTTTGGAGTCTGCTGTGGGTCCCTTGTTCTATGGCCTCTGTCGACATGGGCCTTATCATCAGTGACCTAGTCATTTGCTTTGGGACTGAGTCATTTAGCTATCTTCCCCTTAGTGACTTTGAGTTTTAAGTACCGTTGAAATGATTAGATCTGTATTGTGTGTTGCAGAATCTTGTGCTAACCCAGCAGGAAAATAGTTAAGATTCAATGCCACGATGTTTCCACAATGCATTAAAAATCAGCCTTCTAAAAACGATTGGAAATCGTTGAGAGAACATTGTAGCACATGCATTTCTCATCGGGTGTCCCATTAAACGGTTTGATAAGATTGAGAATTATTGCATCAGTACTGTTAGCTGATTCTCTCTTTCTCTCACACATATACACTCACCAGCACACACAAAGGCACACATGCATATATTAAAATATGTGTTATATTTATTGCAAAAAAAAAAAGGAAAAATGGAAACTGATAATAAATAAAAAAAAATGTGTTTTATCTCAGAATAATTAAGTTAAAGATGATTTCTCTGTCTAGGGGATAGCGTGTCAAATATCCAGTATTATATTCCACTAACCTCATTACTGAATTATGTGCCAATGTATCCAGTTTGATCATTTAAACAATGTTTTATATTTTGGATTGATACTACAGAGTTTTTTTTTTGATTATTAGATTCTGAAAGTCATTAGAGGAATATTTTACTCAGTGTGAATGAAATCTTGAAAACTGAAAGTATCATACTGTATCATGAAACATAAAACAAATGTACTCTGGAAAATAATATTGTTTGATTACTTCAACTGTAAATGTAAAATTAAATAAAAAGAGATGATGCATTCATAAAAAAAGCTCAACTGTTTTTCAATACATATAAGGAAAACCAAAATGTCTTACTTTATTTGAAATAACCAGAAAATGGTAATTATTTAATATTCTGCATAGCAATATTAGTAATATGCAGGTTTCAAACATATACTCATGCACACACACACACACACACAAATAAACATATACACACAAAATATATGTATATGTGTATGTATATATATATATATATATATATATATATATATATATACACCATTATACTACCACACACACATATATATAAAATATATATATTTTATATATATATATAAATATATATATACATATATATATATACACACACACACACACACACACACACACACACACACACACACACACAGCATTCAAGCACACACACACACACACACACACATACACACAGTTGAAGAGGCCACATCCCCTGAATTTATGGGCAGACTCCACTATGTCATGTTACAATTATCAAACATATTTGCCCAGACTTCACATCCAAGGCGCTCTAATCTGTGTATCATAAATGTCCCAAGGACACCTCCTGTTATAAACAGTTGTACATTTACTAAAGAAAAATAAATCTTTTAATTATGCACTTATAGAAAATGTTTTTAATTTTAATTTTTATTATATAAATATATATATATATATATATATATATTTAAATGTTGCCATGGTTTTATTCTACGAAAATATTTTAGCTCCCTAAATTTAGACAATTAAATATATAATAGAGAATTTGGTTATTAACTTACATTGTGAAGAATTATCAAATATGTAGCAAATTTTAGTTCAGACTAATTGAGCTGGAAAAAAGTTGAGGTGTAGAATGTTTTAATCTGACTAATTTTACTTAAAATTTGCAATAGTCTTCTCAATTCCCAACAATTTCCAATTTAGTGAATACATATTACATGGTATTATTTGTGTAATAGACAATACATATATTTTGTGTAACAGAAAATTATTACTTACAAAAATTAGATACACTTTTTTTTTTCACACAGGCCCCATTGAATTTAATATGGAACTTGGAAGCCATTTTATATTGACAGCTAAACTTTTCCAAAACATTTTAAGTAACAAACCAAAATGGGGGCTATATGAAAAGATTACATCCTAATAATATTTTTAAAAAGGAAAGAAAATGAACATCATAGTGAAGTGTATTTTGAAACAAGCTATTTTATATACAAAGTGAAAAATACATCATTTTTTAAATATTACTTTTACATTTTTAAATTAACTGTAATTTTTGAACAGATTTAGGGGGAAAAAACATAATCTGATGACTTCTCCACCCAAGCCTATGTTACTTAAGAACAATGGAAAAAAATATGTTAATTATTTATGCATTCTTAGAAGAAATTATGACACCAATTTGCTAAAATATCAATACATTTTAAAAGGCTAATGGCAATGCAGTCTCAAATCATATAGCATTTCTAGGATGTGTATTAGATGCAGCTTGTAATGTGTCAAATTGTTCCATTTCTGGTTCTGTGTAATTCACTTTGTGATTAATGATTCCTCAGCAATTGAAAAATTCCATTACATTACAAGACAAATGGTTTGAGTGGCTCTCAAAATTACGAATCAAGAAAAGGCTATTTTTTTTTGTAATTTCCCCTATTTGACTGAAATATTATTTGTGGATATATATATATTACTTTAAATAATGCAGATTGAAAATAAAAGTATACACGTGATAACTTTTAAAGCCTTGTTACATACAATTCCCAAGTTATACATTGCTGTCTAAATATTTTCAAACTCATTATTATAAGGAGAAATACTTTTTTTATGTAATGCAAAACAAACAAGCAAATAAAATACAATTTAAACCAGCTAATTGTAAAGCACACGATTTAATATAAATACCAGATGCCAACGCATACAATTCATATTTTAGGTATCCAGACCACATACAGAGATCTATATCAGTATTCAAACCAGACAACAATTCACGTAGCAAATCTTAAATAAGAACAAGGCTTGGAAATCATATGTGTTACACATATAAAGTTCTTAGACAATAGGTGGGTATTTCTCTATTAAGGGACAACTTCTTCTTTGCAAGCGTAGTAACGCTAAAGGACTTACAATATATTGGTATTATATTATAATGGGATTTTGAAATAGTAATTATATAATTTTTATCAATTTCTCCACCTTTTTTTTTTTTTTTTTAAATTCAGATACACCTTTGGAAGACTAGATGTTGATCAAAAAAATATTTTATTCACCTAGTACTAGAAATTAAAGCTATTCTTCTGAAATGTATCCATAGTCAAATATATAAATAATAAATACAATAAAAAATACGTTTCTTGGATTAAAAGAAAAACATTACATATAAAGGTTATACTCAATAACAAAGAGACACAAGTTTTGTATTGGACTTAGTTCATAACAGGGCCTTAATAGTAAAATGTGGATTTTATGTAGATAAAATGGACATTGGCTGCAGCAGTTTTGAAGGTCTATGATCACGGTCATCTATTCTGCATTCAGCATCACTTTAATATGAAATGTTGCGAAGCACATATTAGGATATATGGAAATTCATTTTAGGATATATTCTAGGCATATGTTCTGCTTTGTTTTTGTACAATATAAGTCCATAGCTCTATCTAGATAGATGAGAGATAGATAGGTATATAGATAGACAGACAGAGTATATAAATTAAAATATAACATTGTTAAAATGTTTTGCTATGCAATCTTTCCTGTAGAAAGCAAGCACAAAGATGTAGCAAATCAAGTTATGCTGCACACATTTTAATGGCCTCTTTCTTTAGTCGTAGGTTTTACGAAACATAAACGATAACAAATCTAATTCAATCTATGATATTGTTACACTTATTTCCACATTAAACCATGCTGTATACACTATAAACAAATTAAAATGAAGACATTTACAAACAGCTGATGGTTATTCATCCTCACATTTTACTCTTATAGACTGAGAAAACGATTAAGGCAAAATAGTTAGTGCATTCGCTCTTAAATAGATAAACTTTGGTATTTGTCCTCGTTTTTAACCTCAGTGATTAAACTTTTATATGTTGATAAATAACGTCATATTACATATATATATATACAATATATTTACATATATTCATTTATACAATATATTTACATTTTTTTTTATCAATGAACAATGTTGGTGTTCCATAAAACTGAAATAGTCCACCATTCACCATTGAGAGGTGTTTAAATGTCATGTGACAATGTCATTGAGGAATAGAGATCCCCATAGCACTTAGGCCAAAATATTGACTATTTTATATGCCTGGATGCATAACTAAAAAGGGATACACTTTCACTTTAGTACTTAATGCACTCAAAATAATTCTGGAAATAACAGAATTGAATATATGCAAAATAGATATACTCAATATAGTGTCCAGAAAGCAAGCTCTTCTATATTTTACACATATGGCCCGTGGTTTTCTGTGTTCTGCATTCTGACAGCAATGTACATCAACTATAACCAGCAATCAAGCTTTTGTTTGCAATCCTCTTATAGCACAGACTTAAAGGCCAATCTCAGGACCGGCAAGGCCTTGCACGCCTCTTTTTAAAAAAGCAGACTTAGCCATGAATATTTCACTGGCATGGCACACATCTTCTAAATGCCTGCTTGATATTGCACATAATGACAGGGCCTAGGACTGCCAGTAAAAAATCACAGGATGAACCCTAAACACAGTAAAGAATTACAGCAAATATAATTGGAAGGGGGAGTACTCCCTCAACTCCTGCCATATGGATCCAAATGGGGATAACAAAATGGATGCTTCCAACTATAGATAGATAGATAGATAGAAAGATGGATAGTCTCACCCATACACATGTGCAACATCTTCATGTAATAAGACAGATTTTAAAAAAAATGCTGTATTCATATAATCTGTTAAAGGGACACTCCACAGCCCAAATTCAAAATAAATAAAAATCAATATTAAGTAAACAAAACCCCCAATGAAAACATTCATGCATTTAGTTGTGCATTTACACACTAAGGTATAATAAAGAAAGAGGACACACTCTTCACACATGAAGTACTTCAGCAAGCTAAAGTGCTTTACGTGTTTGGAGTGATCCTTTAACAATTGTATTTCTACAATGCTTCCAGAACCCAATGTAGATTATGCGGGTTAAAGCAGCACTGTCATTTTTTTTTCTTTTTGTCTTCCATTCCTTATGCCCCCTTATCTTGATCATCATAGTCCCTCACCATGTGCCTTTATTTATATTTATTATCTTTTCGTTCTTGTGCCGCATCTCAATAACCTGCAGCAGCCATTTTGTTGTCCTCTGCCTCTGATGTTTGCCCGTTTGTGAGATTGATTTTACTGATGAATTGTGGGTAAATTTGGTTGCCATCTGCAACATAACCTTGCTTTAAGCTCCGCCCATCGTCAAGTTTTGTCAACTTGACTGCTATTTATAGGGAAAAATATTCCTCACTTTTCTTTATGTATTTTATAAAAACGTGAGCTCTTAGAAAAAAAAAGGATTCAGGCACAGGGAGCTATATCGAAGAAGATTAGGCAAAGTAACATTTTGGTGACAGAGACACACAGCCTAACTTATCAATTTGACTCTGTCATGGTTGTACTTTAATTCATAGGTAGAATTAGATTTGTATAGAGTTAAGTAATATATTAAATAGTAGCAAAAATCTGACATCAACGTATTCTCAAATATACATTTGCTTTTTCCCACCTCATCATAGTGGCACTGGCTTTACTTCATAGTTGGAAATCTTATGCATGGCTTAACGCAACATTATTACATTATTACTTAACCCTTCATATTTTTCACAAAAGACAGTCCCACATTTTGCAATGGTGCCTAAAGGGAAGTGTGCACATATTTACATATTTGGCTTTTGTTTTATCTGTCGGGTGGTTAGGAACAAATGGGAGCCTGGTTAGAACAATACAATCAGGCACCCACATTCTGTTCTAAAGTCCCCAGCAGATAAAGCCATTTT